TTTCCCCCTCCAAAATATAGTCCAGCCCCCTGCACAGTCTGAGGGACATTGGACCGCCCCCTGCTGAAAAAGTTTGCTCACCCCTGATAGACACTAGTTTCCCTACTTTGATCTGGTGAGAACTAGATTGAAGGAACACATAGGCAGAAGGTAGGCCCCGCTCCTATTCAGTCTGGAGCCTTTAAACCAGCCTTCCATAATATGGTACACTCCCATTACCCAAAACCATTGGTTCTGCTGACTGGGGCTGTAGTTCAACGACACCCAGAAGGCACTAAGTTGGGGGAAGCTGCTTGATGCAGGATGTGATTTTGGTGGCCATCACAAGGTCAGACTCTTCTTTCCAACTCCCTTTCTGACAAGTGTCTATGAGGCCTATGTGAGGAACCCTTGTGCTGCTCCACAAAGGCATGAAGATAAACACTGATACATACCCTAATGGAAAAAAATGCTGCACTGTGAGCCTGGGGTTAAGTCACAAGTCTCTTTAGGAGAGGGGAACAGAGGCACCACCTTGGGCCGAAGATTGGGGATGCAGCAGTGCATAACAGCACATGCACGGCATTGGGAGCAGACCTTGCCCAGCATGCACAACCTCAGTGGCCACAGCTCCTCCTTTCTCGCACTCAGGAAGAGCCTGATGTGCTGTGCTGCACTCGGCTCAGTGATTCCGCCTCCTGCCTCCCCTTAATATTGGGGGTGGAGGCTGAGCCCCCTGCTAAGGAATATTGAGGGGGATGACGCTATCTCCGGTCCCTACAGTTGGCGTGCCTTGAGAGGAACCATCCTCAAAGCATCTCTGCACAGAACACCAGGCTACAAAATAGTTTACCTGAAAACACTGCATATGCCTGATGCTCTTCAGTGTTACAGACACTCCTTTATTAGATGCAGCTAAAATTAACTTCATAGCTACCTTCCTGATTTCCACAAACCAGATTACAGGTGCACACCACTGATTGCAAAACTCAGATACTAGAGAGTTAGTCATTGCCTGATTAATGTGACTGTACAGATTTCACTCAGCCTTTTTGAACCTCAATTGCATTTAATTACATTACACCCACCTACATTTGCTCAATATTTCTTCTGTAGGAGGATAAGTTCACAGAGTAAGGGCAGCTATCACTGTAACATCTCAATTCCACCCCCACCTTGTACTGCACACCACCTAAACATGGCACTGAATTGCTAACATTCTCCTATTGTTTTGTGTGTTCTTTGGCAGTGTTTACCACTGCAGAATATATCTTTCAAACACATATGTGAACTAAGGGAACTAAAAACATTAATTGAGGCTGAAAAGTGTAATTTTGGCTATTAGCTTGGTACGCCCAGGGCCAGGTTTTCCCTCCCTCCTGTCACATATTTAATTTTTCTTGCATGCTATTGTTTAGAAAAAACCCCACCACCATCAGTCTGAATCATTACAAATGTAAGCACATCTGCAGAAGAACATCATATCCAGGGTGAAAACTGATCTAAGGAACTCTATCAGCATCACATTGTGAGCAAAATAGGATAATATCTACCAAAAAGAAAAAGGTAAAGCAGTCATCTGTCTAGAATAGATCTGCCAGTCAAAGCAGTACCCAGGAAACCTGTCAGACAGTCTACATATTCAAATTTCAGGTTTATTAATAAGGCAGCCAAATACAGATTGTAGCCAACTGTCTACATAAGCAATACAGGTCTGCTGAATAGCCTCTGCAGTCTGTCAAAAGATTTGATTTAACACTTTTATTCCTTTCAGGCGCGACATTTGTACTCACATGTGTACCCATGCAAAGTCTTCTTGACTGCAAGTCCATAACGAAAGCAAAACAGAGCAGGCAGATCAATACTATACTCTGATTATATGGGGTGGTAGGTAGAGGAGGGGTGAATCCACTCTGTCAGCAGAGAGGCCATCATATTCTACATAGCATGGGAGTTTAAACTATTGCCCATCAGATGTTTCTGAACTTCAGTGATCACAGTCCCTGACCATTGGCAATGCTGCCTGGGTGTGATGGGAGTTGGAGGTCCAATACATCTGAAGACCTACAGTTCCCCATCCTTCCTGCATGCCCTCAGCCTGGGAGGGTATGTCCCCATTGAAGCACAGCCAAAGCCTACTGATCAGGGACTTTTGTAGCAACAATACCCATATGCCCCCCCCCCCACATGGACTGACAGCAGTGAGGACACACTTCCACCAGACCTCTCTATATCGCCCCCTACACATACCCCTTAAAATCCCAAAGCACCCCTACTCCATAAACCTCAGTAGCACAAGCAACAATGTCCCCACTACTGCCCAGTCTCCAGGCAACCCTACAGGTAGAAACTTAGATCTCCTTGTGCTATTCATAACCACCATTTTGAATCACAACACACAATGGGAAGGAAGGAGAGCACACGCAACACAGCATCCATACAGCTACCTGGGCAGGAAGCCCACACAATGAATACATAGCTCTCCTGGGTCATGGCTGCAAGACCCACTGAGGAATAAAAGGACTCTTTGACTAGTGAAAGGGAGAGACCAGGACATGCAACCAGACCAGACACACAATGACAACAGCATCATGACTCACTGTGTAAATCAAGGATGAGAACTTCACGTTGTGAACCTGGACTCTGATTTCTCATCTTCAGAGGAGGAGGAGTATATGAGCTCAGAACTGGAGGAAAAGCAGAAATTTCCTCAGGTGGTTGCTGTAGGAAGTCAGTGGACAAGCCTGGGCCTTGTAAGCAGAGCAGCATCTGGTAGCACAGGTGTGGCTAATGATTAGGCTGCAGTTGCAGCTGCTGCTAAAGAACTGCTAGAATACAGTTCCCCTTCTTCCTGTTTATTGGCTGTGCATCCTGCTTAGGTTTGCTATCCATAAAATGCTGTTATCTCTAAGTATAGCTGAGATCTTGTGGTGGAGTAAAATTCCCTCTTCCTGGGACTTCACAAATGTTCTGCCTAGTGTTTAACTACAAGAATATTGATCCTGTGAAGAGCTTTCTTTGACCTGGAGGGTAAATAGAGCAGATGAAAAAGCTGTAGAACATCTCTAAATTAGTAAAGAATAAAAAGTATGAAAGGCACTGTCAGTGGCACGGGGTGCCCTCCATTAGCTTTGGCTGGTGGCCCAGCTGCACCCCTATCTGGACAGGGGAAGTCTAACTACAGTTGCCTATGTTCTGGTAACCTCTAGGTTAGATTGCTGCAATATGTTATACATGGGTCTGCCTCTGAAGATGGTTTGGAAACTTCAGCTGGTGCAGATTTCAGTGGCCAGGTTGCTCACTGGGTTTGAGCATATTACACTGATCCTGGCCCAACTGCTCTGGCTGCCAATTATTTTCCAGGCCCAATTCAAAATGCTGGTTTTGACCTATAAAGCATAAGACTGCTTGGAACCTCAATACCTTGAGGACATGAACAGACCTGGACCCTGTAATCATAATCTGAGGTCCTTCTTCATGTGTCTCCTTTGAGAGAGGTCCAGAGGGTGGCAACACAAGTATGGCCCTTTTTGTCAGTGGCTCCCCACTTGTGGAATGCTTTCTGCAGGGAGACTTGCCTGGTTCCTTCATTACATATCTTTGAGCACCAGGCAAAAACATTTCTCTCCTCCCAGGCCTTTGGCTAATTAAACAATCAAACTGTTGCAGGGGTATTGTTTTCGTATGTTACTATATTATGTATTTTCATATTGCAAACTGCCCTGTTATCTTCAGATGAAGGATGGTATAGAAATAATAATAATAATAATAATAATAATAATAATAATAATAATAATATTGCCTTCAGCATATTGTCTTGACTGAGAGGTAGAGTGCATGCAAAAAAATAAGAAAAGGCTGTTTGATTATTTTGGGGTATCATAAAGGGTAAAGTGTATCTATAGCCCCTTCCCATTTTAGCTCTAGTCTAGACAAAAAGTTGCTCCTAACTCTGACACAGTCTCTGATATCTGCTGCCACATCATATTTATTCATAGGATGTTGAGATATATTTTGAATAATTTCACATGCCGCACTGTCTACAATTGTGACAGGCAGCCCACCAACACACGCTTCATTACTTTGTACTAATTCCAATATGACTAGTTTCTGTCAACACACCCATAGCAAACAATAGCAGGCTCTGTTTACACTTAACTCTGTTTTCCTTTCCACTCGACTGCAGCAGAGTCTGAGAGCTGGCCTTCTTCACTAAAGAATTCTAGAAACTTCCATTTCTAATAGCCCGAAGGGCCAAACACTATATAATGTTAAGTGTAATATTTGTGTGTGAGCCCTTCTTCAAAAAAAAAGTAGGAGTCATGCAGAGTGGGGAAGAGGGATTCAAATCCATACAGGTACAGTGAAGGGGGTGGAAGACAGATTAAATGGAAGATACAATTTGTTCTGTGGCATTATAATCATTTTAGATAAGTCACAATGAGAATACTTGATATTGAAGGGTGGTCAAATGCTGAAAAATGACTTCTCTGAAGAATTACAAGGAAGATATAACTAGCCCATTGTGTGTAACATGAAAGCAAATGTACTATTATGGGTTAGTGAGGAACAGGGATTGCCCAGAGCCCTGAGTGTCAGGTTCCCCCACCCTCTAGATTCTTGGGTGCTGGGGTTTTAATCAGAACTTTGATAATGAAGGTGAGCTGACAGGCTGAGTTTGTTTTTTCTGCCAGACAGAGGGGCAGAAGGAGATTGTGGCCCTGCCATTAACCCATCACAAAAGCAACCTGCAAGACAAAAGACCCTACCAGTAACTGAGAGGGAGGTTGCCAGGGCAATGTGGGAGTGGTGTGGCACAGGAAAATGCTGTTCTTTTTTTAAAAAACACACACACACACAAAACCAGAGGTCTGGTTTAGGAAACGAATAGACAGATGGGGTGATTCCCAATGAAACACAAGCCTGGCTAAGTGCCTGGAACTCCCTGGAATTGTGCTACCACTCAGCAGAGATTGGGGTGTGTGCGCACAACCTTTGTAACAATACATACATGTCATTTAGGAGGTGCTACAGCTCAGTAGTACAGAATCTGCTTTTGCATGCAGAAGATTCCAGGTTAAATTCCTGGCATCTCCACATTAGTCTGGGAAGGACTCCTGTCTGAAACCCTGAAGAGCTATGGTCAATCAGGGTAGATAGTACTGAGCTAGGTAGACCAATGGTCTGATTCAGTGTCATATGTTCCTGCATGTGCCACTGATTCAGTCACCAAAATACCACATGGTCGGGGTCGACCACTCATTGGCACTCTCTTAAAATGCCCAACCAGAATAGCTGGCATGTTTAACAATGCTAGCGTAAAAGGGTCTTTGATATTCAGGACCTGTTAAGCTCCAGAAATACTTAGCTGCCAGGAAAACCCAAATTAAAATCTAGATTGAGACTTATAGGAGAATATATTCAGTGTGTCCTGGCCAGTGAATGTTGTAGATCAATATGTTTGATTCTTTGGCCAAAACCTAATTTGAATTTAACAAACCTAATTTGCTGTATAGAAATGCCAAGGATATTGATCTAATCATTTACTGGCATAGAACTAATAATAGTGTTTGTACTGAGTATTACATAGTGTCCCCCCCCCCCCAATGCTTAAAGCACAGTGGTACCTTGGTTTACGAACTTAACCCGTTCCGGAAGTTTGGTCTTAAACCGAAACCGTTCTTAATCCGAGGCACACTTTCCCTAATGAGGCCTCCCACTGCCAGTGCCCTTCCACCATTCGGATTCCGTTTTTAGACCGAGGTAAAGTTCGCAAACCGGGACACTACTTCTGGTTGTGCGGAGTTCGTAAACTGAATAGTTTGTAAACGGCTGTTCTGAAACCAAAGTACCACTGTACTTCATATATGTTACCTAAATCATTTTTGCAATGACTGTATAAGGCAAAGGCATTACAGTGGTACCTCGGGTTAAGTACTTAATTTGTTCCGGAGGTCCGTTCTTAACCTGAAACTGTTCTTAACCTGAAGCACCACTTTAGCTAATGGGGCCTCCTGCTGCCGCTGCGCTGCTGGAGCACGATTTGTGTTCTCATCCTGAAGCAAAGTTCTTAACCTGAAGCATTATTTCTGGGTTAGCTGAGTCTGTAACCTGAAGCGTATGTAACCTGAGGTACCACTGTATTATTATCATGAATTTACATCAACAGGGTTGGGAGGTTGAGAGATAGTGGCCACTCCTTTAACTGATGGTAAAATTCAGATTTGTACCAGGAACTTCCACCACATTCTGCACTGCCTTCCTAGGTTGCAATGCTACTCACAGTTTCATTGTTTTAATCAACACAAGCCCTTCAGTGGTTTTAAGCAGCTGAACTGCACAGAAAATTACATTCCAAATCTTTTATGTAAGCAGTACGTATGTGAGGTCTATATACTACAGTGCTTTTTGCCTCACCATGATGTTTCCTGAGAGAGCCTGGGATGTGGCTAATTAGGCAAAATTGTGAATTAGCTCCCTAGTTTATCTTCAAATCTATTAATAGTGGAGTCTCTAGAGAAAAAGTAGATAAGGTTATCATTCCACCTTGCTATCAGTGAGTACAGTGGATGTGAGGGCCTAAAATACTATCCTTCAATAAACAATAAGTTGAACCTGAAGCTTCTCATCCTCATATTTAGAGCATCACAGCTGCTTATAAACCATTAGCATAAAAAGTAAACATGTAGAATAGCAGTGCAATTCTACACTTGTGAATTCAAAAGTAGATTGTGTAGCTCTATATCATGGATGGGAAACCTTTTGTTGGACTGCAGCTCCACCAGTCTCAGCCAGCATAGCTATTGGTCAGGAGATCAGTTGTGCTCCAGCAATATGAGGGTGTGAGGGCTCAGGTTTTGTGGTTCTGATCAAGACAAACAGCTATCCATTTTCAATTCAGAGCAAAAAAGATGTTGAAATGCGGTCTCCAAATCCTAAATCAGGGGTGGGCAACCTAAGGCCTGGGGGCCGGATATGGCCCAATCACCTTCTCAATCCGGCCCATGGACAGTCCGAGAATCAGCGTGTTTTTACATGGGACGCGGGTTTTTACATGGGATGTGGGTGGCGCTGTGGGTTAAACCACAGAGCCTAGGACTTGCCGATCAGAAGGTTGCGGTTCGAATCCCCATGACGGGGCGAGCTCCCGTTGCTTGGTCCCTGCTCCTGCCAACCTAGCAGTTCGAAAGCACGTCAAAGTGCAAGTAGATAAATAGGTACCGTTCCGACGGGAACGTAAACAGCATTTCCGTGCGCTGCTCTGGTTCACCAGAAGCAGCTTAGTCATGCTGGCCACATGACGCGGAAGCTGTACGCTGGCTCCCTCGGCCAAAAAAGCGAGATGAGCGCCGCAACCCCAGAGTCGGCCATGACTGGACCTAATGGTCAGGGGTCCCTTTACCTTTTTTACATGAGTAGAATGTGTCCTTTTATTTAAAATGCATCTCTGGGTTATTTGTGAGGCCTGCCTGGTGTTTTTACCTGAGTAGAATGTGTCCTTTTATTTAAAATGCATCTCAGGGTTATTTGTGGGGCATAGGAATTTGTTCATATATTTTTTTCAAAATGTAGTCCGGCCCACCACATGGTCTGAGGGACGGTGGACTGGCCCACAGCTGAATAAGGTTGCTGACCCCTGTCCTAAATGATGCTTTTTAAGCACAAGGATAAGTTATGAAGATAAACCAGATGTTCCTTTATTGTTCCTATAGAATAAATAACTTTAGCAGGTACATTTTCTTTTCACAGCAACCTCCCTCTGCCAAAATTCGCTCCACAGCAGAAAAGGAAAAGTACCAAATCTCTGCTGTCCATTGCATCTGCTCAACATAGTGATCATCCTTCCACATGGTACAGATTCTAGCAGGTTTGGATCTATGGGTGGAGCCCAGCACAAAAGTTGTCTATTCATCTAACAAGAAAATAAACGATGAGACAAAATAGACTTTGCAGGGCATTGTTGTTGTTTTTTACCCCCACAGACACAAAGCTTACTTAGATTTTTAAAACTTCTAGGCATGAGATCCTGTTTAAAAAGTGGCTGTTAATTTGTAAACTGAGTAGAAGTATTCAGGTCTTAATTAAAATGCATACAGTTTAACAGAAATTTCATGAGTTACAAATAATAAACAAAAATCACAAAATTGCAGAACACGAACCTATTTTATTTGACATTATTGTTGTTTTTCTGGTGAGTTGGCATTACTGCCAGTCACCCTATACAGAGAACATCCCTTCTAAAAAGTTGAGTGTGTCCTTAACTTAACCAGATTTCCCCCCTTCCAATCCTGAAGCCACTAACATCAGCAGAACTAATGTGTGTTAAAGAGGGATTGTATTGTAGAGATCTGGAGGTCTTTTAAAATGTTTTATTTCAGTGCAAATGCATAAGTAAGAACAAGTTATTAAATGAGTCATTGTTTGCTGAGTGAAACACTGCAAAATTGTTATTAGTTTTTGCTCACTGTTTAGAGCCAATGGTGGGAAATGGTAGTTAAGGAGAAATCCTTCTCCTAAACCTAATCCACTTGTTTGCCATAATTTTTTTTTACAATTATTTCAGGTCTGAAGAACAATGAGTAAAGAGTAACTGCATTTCATGCCAATAACATTTTTAATGGGCATTCGGGCCCAAAATGGGCAGTTACAGGCAAAAACTCACAAATAACATTTGGGGGGGCTCAATAATTCAATTCATGCAAAAGTTTCATTTTGCTAGGTGACATAAAAACTGACTTTTTTCAAGTAAGTGGGATAGGATTGCAGCTTTAATCACCTTCATTTGCAATAGCAGCCAGATGTTTGTTTTTCATTCCAAAAGACAGGTGACAGAACACTAAACAGATATTTTAAAACAGAAAATTTTAAAACAATTAAGATTTTCATGGCTTGCTTTGGAGGAAGAGTTGAGCAAGATAAACTTGTGCACCCCGTTTTTGCTTCCTTGTTCTCCTGTGCTAGAGATAAATGCATGGGAGGGACCCCTACTGCTGCTGCTTCTCATATTCCTCACTGTTGTCACCATGCCATTGTTACCTAAGGACCAAAAAGACCATGAGTAAGAGTTGTGCTCTTCTGGATATCCCATCCATCAGGAAATTTGTTTCAGTATCATTGAAGAGGTCTCTTTGGCAATTCCCTTGTCTCTGTGGGGACTTGGCAGCAGGGGATGAAGCAGAGAGCAACTGTCTTCAACTCCTTTGCCACTGAGCACTGATGCCACCAGGGAATACAATATTAGCCCAGAGAGTTTCTGATTTATATCCCCACCTTTCTACCACAATGATGGAATCCAAATCTGTGTACCTAGAACTGACAGGTGCTATCTTATCAAAGCACTCACAAGACCCAGGCCTGAACATTTGGGGGCCCTGGTTTTTCATGCAGAAGGTCCCAGGTTCAATCCATGGCATATTCAGGTAGGGCCCGGAGACAAGCCTACCTGCTGAAACCCTGGAGAGCTTCCACCAGTCAGTGTGCTAGATGGACCAATGATCTGACCGGGCAACTTCCTATGTTCCTTCATTCCTAACCTAAGAGTAGCCCTGCTGGATCAGGCTGAAGGTCCATCTAGTTCATCATCCTGTTCTCACAATGGCCAACCTGAGGCCTATGAGAAGCTTGCAAGCAGGAGCTGAGTGCAACAGTGCTTCTCCACTTCTGGTTCCCGGTAATTACCTCCAGCAGTGGAGGCAGAACAAAGCTTTCATGGCCAGAGGCTACTGATATTCATAGCCACCTGTGTAGCTTCAGCAAAGTGTCTGCATCAGGTGCCCTGAGACCCTTCTAAATCCATCTTTATAGAAATGTATCTGGCTTTCGTAGGAAAGGATGTGCATACCTGTGTGCAGAAGCTGTAATTCCTTTTTACAAAACAGCATTTTCCCTCTTTAGAACAATGGCATGCGAGTTTATTTATTCCACCTCGCCCCACAGTGTAATCCAAGTGCATGTTTTTCTTTCAAAGCAAAGAAGAAAAATATGCCTCCTTATTGAAAGAGCTCTCATTTCCAACATAAAACACGTACGGAGGGTTTAAAATAAACAATATTCAAGTGTTGCAATATATCTGTTTTATGTTTGTGCACAGACAGTGT